GCCTTTAGTTGTATTTTTATGCCCATTCTCGATTTATCTCTTATCGCTCTCTCTTCCTCCTATATCCCTCGTCTTCTACCTATTTTATCCTCCCTCATGCACTCTTTCCTAACCTCTTCCCTTCCCTAACCCTCATCCCTTCCCCCTTACCTTCACCCCTTCCCCCCATCCCCAACCCTTAACCTCTTTACCTCTTTCCCTCCCCCCTCCCCTTCCCTTTTCCCAACCCTCACTCCCTCTCTTACCCTCCCCCCTTACTTAAATCACTTACCCCTTCCCCCTTTATCCCTATTCCCCTTATCCAATCCCCCCTTTCCCCTCACCCCCTTACCCCCAACCCTACCTTCACCTCCCACACTCCCACCCTTTTCCCCTTATCCAAACCCCCCACTTTTGCCTTACCCCTTACCCCCATCCCCTCTTCCTCCTTTCCCCTCTCCTTCCTCCCCCTTCCCCCTTTCCCCTCTTCCCCACCCCACCCCACCCTACCGTACCGAAAGCGGCGTAGAGAATCCCGGTCAACCAGGTGAGGCCGAGGACGAGGAAGATGGTAAGGGTGCCCCAGATTCGGTCAGTCTGCCCTTTGCTATCAGTGCCAGCTGGCTGAGGACTCTTGGCCTTCATCGTTCGCGCTAAGACCAAGCGCAACACCATCACGAAGGCGAGGAGGTTTATCTGAAAGGGAGGGGGGAGGGGTTGTGAGGGTTGGTGATGGGGAGAGAGGCTGATGGGGGAAGAGGCTGATGGGGAGAGAGAGTGAGAGATTGTGATGGTGAATGATGGTAATGGTGAGAGATGGTGATGATGAGACATGGTGAGAGTGAGAGATAGTGATGGCTGGTGCTGATGGTGACATGGCGACAGAGAGAGATAGTGATGGTGATATATGGTGACAGTGAGAGACAGTGATGGAGTGATGAGGTTATAGCGAAAGATGATGTGAGATAGTGATGTTGAGAGGTGATGATAGTGAGAGATGGTGATGGTCAGGATGAAGACAGTGTTTGTGGTGGTGTGGAGTTGATAATGATGGTGATAGTGACGTAGTGATAAAGATTATATTTATGATGTGATGGAGACAATAATAGTAATGATGTGATGGTGATAGCGATTATCCTTTGGCGATAGCAAATTGCCGATGATAAAAACAGAAATAAATACACCGTGGAAAATTTGATTTTTGTGCCGATGTAAAATATTCGAAATAGATATTTAGAAATATAGGAGAGACTGAGTGAGAGAGAGGAAGAGAGGGAGTGAGAGAGAGAGAGAGAGACAAATAGACAAACAGACAGACAGAAAGAGAAAACCTAAATTGAACTAATATGTAAACTCAAAAAGACAAAAGACAAAAACAAACAAAATACCCTTATAGTCATTGTTAGTTTGGTGATATGTTTTGACAGTTAAAAAAAACTGCAACATGTTTCATTTACGTCCAGACCAAAGAAAAGGAAATCAAACACTGCAGTAAATTTCGTTCAACTGTTTCAAAGAGATATAGAGATGGAACAGACACAGGCGTAAAGATAAAGACGAGATTCAGAAAAAAAAGACAAACAGGAAAGACATAGACACAGACAGAAAGACAGTAAGAGCCGCAGACAGGCACATTCCTGATAAAAAAACAAACAAAAAACATAATCACAGATGTACACAAATACACAGAAACAGACGCAATAAAGACACTGACACAGACACAGAAACAGACACACAGAAGCGCAGAAACAGACACATAAACGAGCACAGACATAGAACAGTCACATATATTTGCACACTCAAAACGCACACAGGCACATAAACAGACACACATAATCGCATACAGGCACACAAAATATACACAGGCACAGAAACAGACACACAGAATCGCACACAGATACAGAAAAACACGGAATTGCAGAAACAGATACATAAGACACACACGGACACAAAAGCAGACACACAAAACGCACACAGACACAGACATACAGAAACACACAAACAAACAAAAAAAAAATGACACAAACAAACAGACAGACAGATACAGAACACCGACAGAAACACACAAGAACGGGACTCACAGCTAGGATCAGTGCCACGATGCCAAAGAATGTCCACATCATCGCCCCGGGTGCCAACCAGCATCTGAAAGGTCACAGAAATTTCTCCTTGATTAAAAGAATTGGTTGGAGATGTTCAGCTAGACTGATCCTCCCCTACAGGATATCTAAGGTTTGGTTCTGAAGATATTCTCTCTATCTATCTATTTATCTGTCTATCAATCTATCTACCTATCTCACTCTCTCTCTCTCTCTCTCTTTGTGTGCTGTGTGGTGCAGCGGTAGCGATCTCGTCTAGCAATCTTGGTGACCTGCGTTCAAATCCCTCGCCTGCAGTGGATGGTAACCTCGGCCATTCCTTGCACACAGGGGATAACTGATGAAACAGACACTATGTCACACCAAGAATATCCATTGTAACAAATGGAATCAAACTAAACTAAACCTCTCCCTCTCTCTCTCTTCAGCTATCTATTTCTCTCTCTCTCTCTCTCTCTCTGCTAATGGGTTTTTAAGAAATGTATTTCGCAGTTTTATTATTATCATTATTTCATTTACAGGCTCTACAGATCTTATGTTCCGTGGCTCTTAATAAGAGCAATTACTGACTTTGTAACTATTAGAATATTCTCTATGCGCTCAAGAAGTAGATTTATCTCGTGCAGAATAAGCTAACATAAAGTAATTTAGTTTTCCATTGTTTATTTAATGGTGAGATGAAAGGAAATATATCAATTCTTAAATTGAAAGATTTTTTTTCTAATTAAGAAAAATGAAGAGAATCCGCGAGTTCTATAAAAAAAATCGTTTTCTATATCCCTCAGGGACCACTATTCAATTATTTCTTTTATATCTTCAATTGGTCACCCCATCTCTTAAAGTAAATAAAAACTCACCCATACCTTCATAAGACTATGTAACATCCCTCCATCAAACATTGAAACAGACACAAAACGCACACACACACACAAAACGCACACAGACACAGAAATAGACGCACAAAACGCATACAGACACAGAAACAGACACACAGAACGCGAAAATAGATTACTCACGTTGTCTCAGTGTAATAACCGTGAGTCTTACTGACAGCAAGGGTCGTCGAAACTACCACAGCGGGGAAGCCATATCCGACGCCCACATAGAACTTGACCAATGACCTCTGCGGACGCCATACCTGTTGAGAGGAATGTCAAAGATCAAGCAGAGTGCAGTTTGAAAAGGAAAATGTTGGGAAATAAGTGTGAATTAGAATGTAGAGACATACAGGAAGGTAAATAAATGTTTGGAATTAATATATATCAATTAGCGTTTGATATCATATCTTCATCAGAATTATTGGAGAAAACTTGACGTTGAATACATCAGTATTGTAGTATTTCATAATGTGGAACTGGTTATTCAAAATGCATCAGCTTCTTTTTACAGAGTAAAAAAAGAAATAATAGTAATAATAATGATGAGGATGAGGATGGTAATAACAGTAAGGCTAATAGTAATAATAATAATAGTAATAATAATGATAATAATAATAATAATGGTAGTAGTAATCATAATCATGATAATAACAATACCCATAATAATGATAATAATGACAAGAACAACAAAACAACAACAGCAATATTCATGATAATAATAATAATGATAATAATGACAATGATAGTTATCATGATCATGAAGGTAATAATAATGACAATAATAATTACAATAATAATCATCATTTCATTATCATCATCGTCAGAAGAAGCACAAGAGAAGGCCGCGCTCACCTTGCCAAACTTCATATACATGTTAAAAGACTCGACGGCCCCCCACGTGAACGCCGACAGCATGGCGAAGTGAAGCGACACAGCAACGGATAAGCACAGCCACCGTGTTTCTGTGGCGTCGAGGCCCATCACGAGCAGCTGCATTAACAGGAGACTCACGCACAGATGGCAACGGGTCTTCCAGCAGGTGGTTTCCCGCAGCTGCTTGAGGGCGAGGATGCAGACGATGCAAAGGACGAGACAGATGGCGGAGGCGCTGCAGCCAAGGAGGGTTAGCCATTTGCCGGCGAGGTAGGCGGGGTTCTGGGAAAGAGAGCGCCGTTCTGATATTGATGCTTTCTACTGTTTTGCTGTCCCTGTTGTTTGTTGTTCTCCTCCTCCTTTTAAATCGCTGTGACTAGTTTAGGGCGAGGGAGTAATTGATAATTCTATATGAATAATAAAATGTAATAGGACAGTAACAAATGTAATAATGATGTCAATAGTAATGGATGATAGCAGCATCAACAACAGTTACAACGACAATAATGATAATGAGGATAAATATACCAGCAACACCAGACACACAAGAGAACACCAACATATGGCAATGATAATGATACCAGTAGCTACACCAGATAAAACAAACTGCAATAACAACAATAATAACAATAATAATACCAATAGTAAAATTAATAACAATGGTAAAGATGACAGTCATAATAACACTATAAAATACAACAATAATAACAGTGATAATGATAACAAGATGAAAAGCAATAGCAATAACAATAACAACAATGATAAAGATGACAGTCATAATAACACTATAAACAACAACAATAATAGTGATAATGATAACAAAATGAACAGCAATGATAATGATAAAGATGACTGATAATAACACCACCACACCAACAACAATAATATCAGCAACACCACCGTCGTAACTTCTAAGCACCATTAACTAACCTCTCTCACTCCTTCCTTCGCCAAGAATCCACGAACGTCCATCAGGAGAGCGAGGGACGTCAGGTGGTTGCAGCGACAGATCGTTACGTGGGCGTCCGTGTAATTGAGGGCGCACCCACTCGTGTTCCAGGCGTAGGCTCCCTCGTCCCACCACACACAGCTGGGGTTGGCGAGGAGGAACCCATCGCCTTTGTACACGTGGCCGAATTTCACTTTTGTTGTCTCGCCGTCGCCTGTGCAAGGTAGGTGGAATTGTGGAAGTAGGTAGGAGGGAGTGAGGGAGGTCGAAAGTGGAGGAAGAGAGGGATGTGGAAGAGTTAGAGTAAAGGGAGGGAGGTGGAAAAATTCGAGTGGAGGAATGTATGTGGACGAGTTAAAGTGAAGGGAGGGGGGGAAGAGAGGGAAGTGGAGGAATACGAGTGGAGGGAGGTAGGTGGCAGAGTTAGTGAAGGGATGGGGGGAAAGATGGAAGTGGAAGGATACGAGTGGAGGGAGCTAGGTGGAAGTATTAGAGTGGCGTCAGCTCAATTTAAAGGTGGAGGTGTAGTAGAAAAAGTTGAGAAAAGAAGGAAAGGGGAAAGGGAATGAAGACAATGACCAAAAAAGGGGAAAGAGTAAGATAAAAAGAGCAAAAGAAGAAGAGAAAAAGAAAACGAAAAAATTGAATTGGAAAAAAGTATCAAAAAGATAAATAAAGACAAGAAAGACAAAGTAGAATACTGAGAAGAGATAAGGAAAAAATAAAGAAAAAGAAGACGAAAAGAAGGTAAAAAAAAAAAAAAAAAAACGAAAAAGGCAGAAAGATATAACATGCATATCTGTCAACTTCGTAAATTTTATCTTTATGTATCTTTAGATATCAAAGGATAAGTGTTAAAAAAGATACAGCGTACATATCAACACATTTGCCTCTTGATCCTGAGATAAAGACCCGATGACCTTACCTGCGCGCCAGAGTCCCTTTTGTCCAACAATGGCATTGATAATTCCGCTGTTGACCTGAGCTTTAGCTGGAAAGACGTCGGGGGAAGCCTGTTTAGGATCGCTGTGAACGCAGATAAACAAACCAACGTGTTACTTTGAGAAAATTCATAACAACCAAAATTTTTACACACAAGCACATGTGTGTGTGTCCGTGAATGAGATTTATACCATATATCACATTGACCCATTTTCATATTTCAAATATATTCCAAAGTACATAACCAAAGGTTAAAATCCACCCATATTCAAAACTACAGAGAACCGAACAGCGCCGAATGAACTTACTGCGGTAAAGTGTTGGTGACGCTGTGCAGGGTCGTATATGACATAAAAACGACCCTCACGTTGTTATCCTCATTGACGTAACCGCGATAGAACAATTCAGGAAGCTCAATGAAAGTGTTGGGGTAATAAATGTGGTCGTATCTGCGAGTCGTGACGTTGTAGTCGTTCGCAGGACGACTGGATACGCGTACATCTGGTAGGGAGGTAAAGGCTTCAATTTGTGGCAAACATTTTGTTATTTATTAGGTAGTGTGGAAAATATGTTTTCTTAGTGTTTACTATGCTGGATTTTTAAAAGCTTGTATATGGTAGTGTGGAGGAACTGGTCTTTAAATGTGGCAGTGTATAAGAGATATTTTTAGTTAGTCTGTGGTGGTCTGTTTTTACTATTAATTTGTTTTCTTTTGGAATAGGGATAGTGTATCGTGATAGGGTAGAATAAAAAATATTGTTTAGTTTGTGTGTGGCAGACCGTTTTTTTTTTCTTTTGCCAGGTGTAGTAGTGGAATAGAGTCGGTCCTGGTATGTGGTGGCAAGGAAAAAATATTTTTAGTTGCGTGGTAAGGAATATCTTTTGCTGGTCTATGGTAGTGCGAAAGAGTAGGTCTTAATACAAAATAGAATGTTTTTAAAGTTTGCATGTTTAAGTATATATATACTTATACATACTTATATATACACATATATATAATATATATACATATATATGTGTGTCTGTCTGTGTATATATGTATATATGTGTATATACATATATATGTGTGTGTATATGTATATACATATATATGTATATGTCTATATATATGTATATATGTACATATAAATATATATATTCATATATAGGTATATATATACATGACTACTGCGATGGTCCAGTGGTTAGAGTACTGGTCTCCAACCCTCGTGGTCCCGAGTTCAATTCCTCGCCGCGGCAGTAGTAAAAATGCCTACGCTTCGACTGCTGGCTCGAGCCCGATCTCACGACGAGAAAACGACATATCGCCTGGAAAAGTCAAATGCAGGTGTCGTAGGGGAAGTCACCGCTGTGGAACAAGTGTTAGCGCGCCGAACCGCGGTTCATTAGGAAGGGCATCCAATCAGGCAAGGATGGTACTGCCAAATAACCTCTCATAGTGAATTGAGAGAGGCCTATGCCCTGCAGTGGAATAAATGGCTGTTAAAAAAATATATATACATGTATAAATGTGTGTGTGTGTCTATGTATATTAGTGGCATGGTGGCCGGGGGGGGGGGGGGGGGGGGTACGTACTCTCCCCCCCCCCCCAGCGAAGAAAAAGCAGGGGGCTCCGAAATTGTCTCAACTCTCCAAGAGGGCGCCAAAAGCTCACTGAAAGCAAATATGTACAAAAAATCTACAGCGCTCCGAAAACGCGCCTACAGTTCAACCTGTTATGAGCCTTACCAGTGCCTAATCAAATACATTTGTACCAAGGGCGCAGTTCTCAAAGGGGCGCCCAAAAAGACTAGTGCCCACCCAGCCAAATAGGAGCCACCACGCCACTGATGTATATATGTTTATATGTGTGTATATATCTTTCTTTTTTTAACTAACATTCATTCCACTGAAGGAATAAGCCTCTCTCAATTCACAATTGAAAGGTTCTATTCTTGCCTGATTGGATGCTCTTCCTAATCAACCGGAGTTCGACGTGATAACACGTGCCACGGCGGTGACTTCCCCTACGACACCTGCATTTGACTTTTCAAGGTGATATGTCGTTTTCTAGGGCTGAAACCAGCAATCAATGCGCAGGCGTTTTTACGACTACCGCGGCGGGGAATTGAACTCGGGACCACGAGGGTCGGAATATATATATACATATATATACATATATACATATTATGTAAATAAATATACTTATATAGAGAGAGATAAGTATACTTCATATATATATATATATATATATATATATATGTATATATATACGTGTGTGTATATATACATATGTATGTGTATATATGTACGTGTGTGTGTGTGTATCTGTAAATGCATATATATATATATGCGCACACGCACACACACAAACTTCCACACACACACATACTCAAACACACATACACGCACACTCACACACATGACACACACACATATATAAATATATATATGTGTGTGTGCGTGTGTGTATACATGTGTATATAGGCATATATAAGTATATATATGTATATATATATATATAAATGTGTATGTATGCATATATATGTTTGTGTGTTTGTATCTATCCATTTATTAATATATATATATATATATACATATATGTACATACATATTTACACATTTATATATATGTATATATATATATACACGCACGCACACACACACACACACACACACACATGCACACACACACACACGAACACATATATATACACATTTGCATTTATACAAAATCTTTATACATACAAAACACACACGGACATTATATATATACAATATCTTTATACATGCACACAGACATTGTATATATATATATTACATATATATATATATATATGTATACATATATATGTATATATTTACGTATGTATATGTATATATGTATATATATGTATGTGTATGTATTTATGTATATATTTACGTATGTATTTGTATATATATATATGTATGTGTATATATTTATGTATATATATATATATATATATATATATATATATATATATATATATATTTATATATCAGTGCGAGCGCGTTTGTGTGTGTGCGTGTACGTGTGTGTGCGTGTGAGAGAGAGAGAGAGAGATAGAAGGCAGAATAATTGTATCAGAAAGGAACTGATAGCCAGAGTTAGCCAATGCGAGAGATACAGCAATCTAAATCATTATAATTTAACAAAGGCACCAATTAGGTCGGTATCCTATCATAATACATACATAGACATAGACAAAGATACACATCCATAGATACACACACACACGTGTGTGTGTGTCTACAAATATATATGTGTGTGTGTGTATGATATATATATATATATATGTATCTGTACACACACACACACACACAAATATATATATGTTAAGTACTTTCGAGCTTGCTCGACACGGCAGTGATAATTGTTTCCTCAGGCTGAAAGGGTGAAAAGATGCTCACAATAGCAGGGAACAGAAGAACGCTCACCAAAGCAGTTGCATATTGGTAGTAGATCAAAGAAAGCGTGAGATATGTCTATATATATATATATGTATATATATATATATATATATATATATATATTTATACATATTAATAGATGGATGGACACACACACACACATATGTATATATATGTGTATATATATAAATAAATATATATATATATATATATATATATATATATGTATGTGTGTGTGTACATATATATATACATTATTTATATATATATACATATATATGTGTGTATGTATGTATGTGTGTGTGCACTGTCAAATAACCTATCAATAATGAATTGGGAAGAGGCCTAGACCCTGCAGTGGAATGTATGACTGCTGAACAAATAAAACATACATATATATATATATATATACATGCATATTTCTATACATCACGTGCGTGTGTGTGTGCGTGTGTGTACGGGTATCTTGGAAGATGTAGTCTCAGCTAAAATACCAGTGACATAAATATTCTGCTAAGTTTTTGATTTCCAATAGCCTGGGTTAATTCCTTATCGCTTAAAACAACAAAAAAGCGGATTGAGTTAAGTACTTCTTGCGACCACCTATATATATACAGATATGTGTATATATGTATATGAATATATATATATATATATATGTATATATCTTATCTATATATATACACATACACACGCATATACACACACGCACACAGATTGAGAGTTTTTTTTTTTTTTTTTTTGGGGGGGACAGACATACAGGCAGACATATAGACAGACTAACAGATATATGGACAGACAAACAGACGGACAGATGTAGACACATCTTAAACTCAATCCATTCCACACGATTCATTGCCACCGAAAAG